TGGAAGCATTGTCTGGCGCGTCTGCCTCCGCGACCCGAAAGGAGAAGCGGCGATGGAAGATGAAGATGATATTTGTCCAAATTTTTGCAACGTCGTTTTGCAAACATGGCCGTAATTTACTCAAAAACTTTCTTTTGAGGGCATACTTGTTACTTCAGGCAGTAGATTCTGGAAAATCTTTGCTTAAATATTGGTCTATTGTTTTAGCTGCTTGAGCAGAACATATTTGCCGTTTTTCAGTGAACTTTCTTAAATTCTAGATTCTCGTCTATTAGAGCGAATGACTCGAATACATTGCTATGTCAATGAACCAGCAATGGATGGGATCGACAAAATTGGTAGAGTTCACGGCAGCTCCTTAGAGTGATATTTCGTCTACAGAACCGGATTAAAGGATCAAGCGACCATGTGCATCATTTTCAAAACATACGATGAAGCATGATTATTTTTGTTCCATTAACCTTTAGGAAAAATGATGGTTATTCTTCGTGGTGTCCAATTAACAATGCCTAGGAATGAAACGAAAACAGCATCTTTGGGACGACTAAGATGGACAAGAACTGGCCAGCAGACACTGAAATAAGAACGCTTGCAAAGCTTCCCTGTCACTGCTGGACAGAGAATGAGATTTGCCATCTCATTTCTGAGATGTATTTCATCCAAGGACCAATAATATGCTGGTGCATCGGTACTGAAGTGTCAAGTTCCGATTGGATTCAATTGCAGTCGTAGTTCTACCGTGAGAGAACCTGCACTGCTCAGCTCATGCTAAAAGATCTGATTCCCTTCGCAGGGTAAACTAACCAGTCATTCAGAACAGACGTTCCATCATACGACTATCCATACAAAATAGGAAGAAGCGTTCAGCTTAAGGTGATAAACATAAGTCCCTATCACTGACAAATATCAACAATCGGAATAACTGATTCGTACCTCTGAGAAGCGTTAGAGGCAGACTGGTCATTTACGGATATCAAAGAAATGACAAACAAGTCGTCTGTCACATTTAACTAGTCTCATTGCACTTACATAGTTAAAACAAAGCTTTCTTCACATCATTTGATTCAGGTTTGTTTCAAGGATAAAGAAATACCGCGCAGCATTAGCAATAAGTGGAAAATTTTGTATTTACGAAGTTAACGGTTACGGTTAAAACATAAATTTGAATTCGTAGACATGCACGCGACAATCCTTACGAAAAGAATGAAACATGAAAGTTAACGGTTTCGATGAAAATGGCGCCATGATTATGTATAAGTCGTCAAATAACACAAAAGTCCTTTAAGGCAATTTTTCATGACGCATTGCACCCGCATGTTTAGAAGAGGCTCATTTAACTGTCATAATTTCTTTAAACTTGAGCACCTCCAGCGTTAGATGCATCTTGCATCATTTTGTTTGTTACAGCCATCTGGTGCTATTAAGAGCTGGTGCCTTTCATACCACCCCTGAATGTTCGATCAGCATTATACGTAAAATAACGCATAATCCAAGACTACGTGGGATGGTGCACCTTGCCAACGCCACTAACTAATAAATAACGTCATTCATAAAATTGCATTTATTCTACACGTTCCTAAATAGTAGTGGACTTAAAGCAGCGCATATTCAACAGCTGAGAGCAAAACGAAACGTCAAACAAAGGAAGATCATGTTCAGTTTAGGACTGTAAAAATACTGCAAATAAACAGGATCAAAAGAAACAAAAGATCTACACAAAAAACATGACCCGTGAAATGACGTAGAAACTGCGACGCCTCGTCAATGTGAAACTCACAACACCGTCAAATCCTGATTTAAAAATAGATGTTCTCGCTGTGTTTAAACCCCTTACCAAAAATATACAGTTCAGAAGAATCCTTTCTGCTTGACAGTGGTTTGATGATATGGACTTCGGAAAAAAACTTTTTTACCACGGTGCAAAACTGATTTAGGTCGCTTCCGGTCCACAGTTTGCACAAGAAAATTCCTTGTTGTCTTTTCAACATTCTGACAGCAAAAGAAAGCGCCAAATAGTCCAACTTTAGAATGCGCTCATGATCCAGCTGATGGTTGCCAGTGGCATTTGGAGCCATGTCACTTACAACGGCATCTAATTTCCGGCCTTGAAGATGAACGTCTACCAGGTCAGTTATTTCAGGATCTAACATATCAGTGTTCTGCAGCACAATAACGTCGCTGATCGGCTCCATGGAAGCCTTGTCGATGGCAATGGTGAAGCCGATTGGACGATTAGCCTCTACGCCGCCGCAGTTTACCCTTTTCGCTATGACTTGCGTCCAACTGCCCGGTGCGGCGCCGCAGTCGACTACAAACATGCCCGGCTTCAAAAAATGGAACCGATCGTCGATCTCTATCAGCTTGAATGCGCTTCTTGCTCGATAATGGTTCAGCTGGGCTCTCCTAACGTACGGGTCACGAATATGACGCAGGAACCACTCCTTCGAACTGTTAACCTTGAAACGCTTCGAAACGAAGCACGCTACTTTCAACAACTCGGCCAACATTATGTATCTGTACAATTAATGATGGCGGCAAAACCTAAGCAGCTAACAACACCGTGGCTTTGAAAACAGTTAGTCAAATCTATTTTGCAGCAAGTATTCGAATTGGTTTTCCACAGTTTGCGGTGTATGCAGAAGATTCCCGACGTTTGCACGACGTCTATCCGAACGTCTTCCGGTTACCAGTTTAGGCTTGCTGGGCATACGCTTGAATTCAGCAGCTTCGATCAACTTCGCTTCTTGCTGCTCGTAAGAACCGTTACATTGAATCCAGTAATCTTCTTCAGCCTATAAATCAAACGTCAACGCAAATAACGCTTAATGATTAAGATCATGAACGCATATTTAATTGCATGCACTCTCAGTCTAACGTAGATTATGCTCTTCAAAAGAAGTTTTCAAGGGGATCTAAGCACTGATTCTGAATTATAATTGACAAATACTTGAAGTAAATTATTTATCAATAATTAAGATTCAAAAATTACGCAACCAGTACTAAATTCAGAGCAGAATCCCTTAGGATCTTGCATCTCCAGTTGGAGAAAAACCTGTGGGTAGAACAAAACTTGTCGTAGCATCATCCTACCTGTTGAATGGAAAGTTCTGGTTTGGTCCCGAAATCGTAGCTTTAAAATGTTTGCTTCTTATATGACGGCAACAGTATCATGAAGAGTTTGCGACGAGAAACGACTTCACGGAGCAGATATTTATTAACAACTTAATGTTTTAAGTCGTAACCATGCTGGTCTGCTATTTTGCTTCTTCCTGCCGGTTAAAATCTTACTTCATGTCCATTCCACTGTGACTGCTTCTACGATTTTTCATTTCCGCCAGCTGGATTCGTTTTGAATCAAATTCGTGTAGCTTAAGCCCCACTACATGACATAATTTTTTAGTATCCTCTGTGAGCCTCTCTGATCTGTTCTGCTATCTATTGATCTGCCTATTCAGTTTCTGCAGTGTAGCCCTTACAGAAAGAACAATTTAGCCAATATTCCCTCTCAGCATCCATTAGTTTTACTATGATGTCTTTATTGCATAGGATGCTGTCAAACTGGTTTTGGAATCTCTGAACCGTGAAATCTAATTCAATGAGTCCAACAACCAGATGTCACTTTCCAAAGAATTAGGAAAAAGCCTTTTACTCTCCCATATCTATCATTCAAATATCAAAGTTACGCCCTTAGTTATTGCTATAACCATTTAATGATGCAAAATCAACGATGACTAAAAAAAGTACCTTTGTTATATATGGCGTTGAGAGGCAGCGCATAACATCGTATTCCGCATTTACCTGGCTCTGAAGTAATGCTAGATGCAACGGACGCACAGGTCTATGAACTTTCCGCTTCCTAAGAGATATACAGGATTTCAACAGTTGCAGTTGTAACACGCAAAAAGAACCACTCTAAAGTTTCAAATAAATGCTTACTCAGTGTAGTTTTTAACAGCAGTGCATCCTTCTAGGTTAACCAGATTCAACGTACATTAAATTATCGTAGTTGAGCTCGGAAGAGTTCGTAGATATGAGATCCTAACGGGCTCGTGACGCGCATTGGTATCGTCACATCTGATTACTGGTGAACCTCGTAACTGCACAGCTATAAAATGACTGAGGGAAACGGCATCCTACACCCATCTGCCGTTTGTTTGGTGATCACAAATGCCAGACGCTAACTTATTTTCTGACTCTGGAACGTTCAGCAAAGTCAAACAACTCGTTACCTCGAAAGCAATGCTATGTTGAAAATTTACCAACTTAAAAATTCAGTTTAAATTTCAGGAAACCATCACAAACTATTCTCATCAAAACCCAACTTTCTCGTTCTCGTCATCGAAGAAAGGCAACAATTCAGGTATGGCAAGCTTAACAGAATGCGAAATGACAGTACTCTCAAGTAGTATGTTTTCTCTGACCGCTTATCATCAGCATGTGCTGATCAACGACTAAATTTTACGTCGAATTTGGAGAATACTTCATAGTGCACGCGTCCGAAAATTATCGAAGAGCTTCACGATGCAGGATGGATGCGAAAGCCTAAGCTAAATCGCAGAGAATGGTTCCTGAATAGATGTCCGAGTCCTAAGGCCAAAGCTCCCCCTACGTTTATCGATCAACAAGATATTTGCATACCTTCTATGAAGGTCAAGTGATAATCCGAAAATTTAGATTTAACTGCGCATACCTCCTACATAAAACCAAGCGAAGAATTTTAGCAGTGACATTTGTTTTAATTTGTTAGTACTCACTGCCATCCATTTCCTATCAACAATGTTTACTATACGTCCCATGAATAAAATTATTTACCCCGACTGTTTCGACTGACACGGTTTCAGATATCCTTTAACTTGCCAAAAAAATTTTTTGTCGAAATAATTTTTGCTTCTTCTGAACAAATACGCCGTCCAGTGCATAGGGTAAAGGAATAACCTGGAAAGCATTTATTTACAACGATATATTTACATGAAAATTTATTTACAACGATACAGAAGCTCAATATATAACGAGTGTTGCAGCACAGCAGAACTTCGAAAGGCCGAGAAAGTTTAATGTCCACAGTGCAGGTAGTAAAACAACAAAATACAGAATTTGACCAGTTTCAACCATACCAATGCAAGAACATACTTTCCTAAAGATGAAAAACATGACTGTTTAACAGGCCAGAATAAAAACGTACAATTTAAATATTTATCAAAATTTATTCAGTCCAGATTCAAAACACTTTCTGCATTCCATTATAATAGCTTTCACTCCCGGAATCCATGAAGACGCCTAAATGCATATCTAATTAATGCGAGTTTCTAAACGAAAAAAGTAATTCGATCATTTATAAATGCGACATTATCTGAACCTAAAATAATATTCACAGGAAACAGCAAACTCCGTGAATCTGAGAGATCTGAATCTTTTATATTTCGATGATGGCCGTTCTTCCATCTTCACACTGTTCACCCGATCAGCTAATGATACAGTTCTAATTTGCATCTCGTTAATACCAGCACAAAGCAATATCTGTGACTCTACAATCACTATACTGTGTAATACCATGCCTTCTTCATACAGATAGTGTTAGGGAATAATAATGATATGGATAACATGAGTGACATTCGGAAGGATGAAACGAGAGTACCTCGGGGCAAGAACAGAACTACAACTTTTGAATGTATGTAAAAGCAGCCACATTCATTCTTCAATGAGTGGAAGCATTTCCCAAAGATTATTGCTTTTGGAGTCTCTGTGCGGTACTGAGCTCCAATTCGATTCAATCAATTAGGAGTGTCTTATTTTATAGGGCTATCTCTACATTTGGATGGT